CGAGCCCTGTCCTTAGGCTCGCACCAGCCGTTATAGCGGGGAAACAATGACGGGCAAGTATTGTTGTTATTGTAAGTAATACTTGACCATCATTACTTCCAGCACAATAACGGTTGGTACGAGCCTACCCTGTCCTTGCAACATATGAAATTCAACGGGATGTGGAAAAGATGGCGACTCTCTTCCCCGTGCACAGCTGAAGCAACAGACACGCCATATCAAGAAGTAAATGGAGGACCGGTTGACATTTCGAGCGAACGATCCATTCTCATTTGGTCATATTATTATCTGAGATTCGTGTACGTATGCTGTGCCTAAGCCAAGTCCACATAGGTGGTTCAATAGACACCTGCGCACAGCACATGTCACGCATTGCATCTGTACAGCCGTTTCAATAATGTGTCCGCAGGATTCGATACAGCTGGCTGCTTGAGATTTAGTTAATACCAGACGAAGGTCGCCGGATTCCCTTGTCCAGGTAAATTTGGCCACAGGTTGAGGGCCGAAAGAAACAAAAAGAACCAAAAAGACCCAGGGAGAACACAACAATTGCACGAGTGAATGCTTAATGTGCCCTTTGCGCGCGGGGCAGGGATTCAATGTGGAGTCGGCCTCGACCCCACATGTAGACCCGCCGCGGTCACCTATCGTGTCACCAAGGAGGCTCGAACTCCCAGCCTCCGGCAGTTTGATTTTCTCAAACGTCTGGGGCTGTACCACTGGGCTATGGTGTCCACTACTTTTAGTTACTTCGGCACGGATCTCAAGCGCTATGATGATCGTAGATCATATAATGAATTCCCCATCAGGAAATACTTAGTTGAACCCGTCAGTGCTCTTACCTTCTTGATTTCACCTCTGTTCACCTGCTAATATCACTTTGAGCACTGTTTGTGACTCTTAGCCATTCAGATCTTTGTGTACATTCTCGGAACATTGTTCGACACCGAGCCTATCATCTACTTCGTGTATGTATCCCACTTCAACTTGTTGCCTCGCATTTTTCTTTCCATTTTTTTTGGAGGGCCTACTGCCAGCCTGGGGATATAACGCCGCCGCTTGAATGCAAAGGGAGGTTGCAAATGTGTACGTGTTACAAAAAGTTGGCTTTCCCCGCGTTGAATTCCGAAACTGGAGAGATAAATAAAATAGAGGAATGGACCTTAATCTCGCCTCTCAGTGAGCGATAACGACCGTCCAATGTTTGAGCCGACTTTCCGTTCAAATCCTTTCGTTTGATCCCGTGATTGAGCGTGGGAATCGTGGCACAGTCAATCGCTCGCTCGCTCTACTCTCGCTCTCGTCTCCCTCTTGTACTTCTCTGACAGTCTCTCCGCCTCGATTCCGTTCCACCTAGACCGGTCTTCTCCAACCTATGCCTTTAGCAGTGACCCAAGGCCAAGCCATTCGAGACGCAGTCCTGGATGCTATCGATTCACCTGAATTCCTCAGTCCCCTCACCCTGCCTTTTGTGGATGAGATGTCATGGCCTGAGTGCTTTATGGAGGGCGGAACGGAGGACGAAGCCGCGAATTCGGCCCAGGCGCGACTCTTCTACAGCCAGGCTGGGCTTGCGATTTTGCAGCAGTCCATCTTCCTGCTCGTCGTCGGAGAGCTTGCGGGCAAACCAGGCGCCTATTCAGTGGTGCGAGCCGGTCGCTCCATGGATGTCCGTACTGAAATACCTCCTCTCAGGCAATCCGTACCGCCGTACAGTCCCGCGATGTAATGGAAGCTTTGGTAGCAAAGATCGATAAGAAACTCCTCGACAAAATTGTCACGTCGCCGGTCGCTCGTCGACGCAGGATTTTATGAATTCATCGGAGTGTTGTGGGACGCTGAAGGCCGTAACACCGAGGCTGTGGCAGCCTTGCTGCGCCCTATATTGGAACCGCTTCTGCGTGCCGCAGGAGAAACTTTTTTAACCCTGTGCGTGTTGTCTGCCATTTTCATTACTTACCGACACGATGATTGATATTCAACCTACCCTCAGCGAAGCGGCAAAGAACGGCCAACCAAAGGGCAAGGCTTCCGCCAAATCGAAAGGCAAGAAGACGAATGAAAAGCCTATACCGTTGCCGGCCGGTATGCTCTGTGATACTATCTAAACTCTTGTTCAATATGACGATTCAACTCAGATTTGCAATTTATTTTGAATGTGCGAAGGGCTCAAGCGACAGCTGTCCCATCATCAGTCAGGGGAACTCCTTCTTTGCGCAGCGATGTGCTGATTCTATATCCTCAGGCTCTGCCACAGACACCCCGTCACCCCTTGCAACCAGCATTCGAAATTTACTACGGCCCGCTTAACTTCGTGCGCACCTTCTTTCTTGACTCCATTCGTCCAAGATTTAGTTCAATTTCAAATGATTCAGAATGTTGGTCTCTCTCCTTCCGCGTTCGATCTGAACTCGGAAGCGGTCATCCGCGGGGGGATCCTCACAGAGGACTTGCACGAATTCGTAAGTCTTGTACCCTTGATATCCTCTTTGTCGACGCTCACCTGGGTTATAGGACGGGCATGAGAGGGACCTCGACGTGGCGGGCGCCAGGCTCGACCACAGCCCGCGCGCCCAGCTCCAAGCGACCCAGCTCCTCAAAACGCTCCTGGTGACTAATTTCCTGCCCTATCTCACGCAATGACTGACGCGCGAAACATAGACAGATTCGGCCAAGGCGGGCGAGGCGTCTCCGCGCTCGGTTTCTCTCGCCCTAGAGGACCTCATGCGGACGATATTTGTACGTATCACGTTTTCAACCAGCCCAAGGTTTCAGAGTGCTTATTCTGGCTCACCAGGACATCTCCCCTGCCTCCGTTCCTTGGCCCGACGAGCGTAGCCGCAAGGTGAGTAGTCTCTTTCAGCCCGTGTGCGCGGTCCTTACGGACTTGGAAGCATATCCCGATGCCTCGATTCTCCCCGCACGCGTCGGTGTGTCTTCCCCGTACTGGATTGCAGCCGTAGTCGACTAACCGCACCGCCAGACACGCAGCTCAAGCCTTCCGCCAAGTCCTCGCACGCCAGAGCGCGGGGATCTCTTGGAGCCAGGGTTCGAAGTGCGTTTTTACCTAAATCTTTGTGTCGAGTTTGCTGATAAAGCTTTGTAGTATGATCTCAGCAAGGCGCGGATGGCAACCCCCAAGGTCGGCGTCTGTTTGTAACTTTAAGAACGTAATCTGACGCCCTTTTTCGTAGAGCTCGGGCAGTGCTGCCAACGGGGCGGCTTCGGGTTCCTCTAGACGTGCTCCTTTCACTCCCAGTAACGGACGTCATGCAGAAAATGGACCGATGTAACATAGCTAGCAGACAGTGTGGGCAGTTTCAATGTTCTGCTTTTCTACGATTGCCTCTCTCTCTCTTTTCTTGGACGCATCTTTTCTCTCTCTCTCTCCGCAAGTCCCAGTAGAATCAGCATAGTTCTTTTTGTAACATCCCTGTATACTGTATTCCTTCTGAGAATTTGTTTACTCAACAATGTTGAATGTACGAGGCGTTGCGGCACTTTTGAATTGCTTGAAGCAGAGCGTTTTGAACCACTGCACATCTGGCACATGTACAGGTCCAGCTTCGGTTGACAAGCGTAGCGTATACAATTCCGGCGCGTCCATTGACATCGAACTATGGAAGCAAAGAGAAAGAGGACGCGATCGGCGATTGAGTGACTTGGACCTTGGAGTACTTCAGACCAAAATGGACCGGCACGTATGACTTTCGCCAAAGCGTATGCGATCCTTTTCCTTGATATCCTACTGCACGAACCACTCGGTGAACGTCAGAGGTTCAACCAAGGGCACAGCCACATGTTCAACTTTCGAGTGCAGCGGTTCGAACTTCGCAGAAAGCATGGCAAACGAAATGCGGGAGGGTTTCAAGGGAGTCGGTACATTTCTGGGTCATGCACTGAATGTGTACTGTTAGATTCAAGCACCCCACAGATTTCCACTCGGCATGTCGGCGAGATTGCAACTTCCCACGGTTCAACCTCCCACGGTTCGCAAAAGGGCGGTCAATCGGACCAAAGACATAGAAGCAGAATGGGTGGAGGCCGAGACTGAGAATGGAGGGTACATGCACATTGATGCATGCCTCGGGGACCCGAGAAAGAGAAATAGAGTGAGTGGCAGCAGAGCCTGGTAATGCCGCAAATAAATGTGAGGGCGAGATGTCCGGTGTTCGGAGTTTTTTTGAGGCATACACCAGTGCAAGAATATTTCCTGGTCTGTGGCATGCTGAATACCGATGAATGAAACCCTTAACTATGAATACAGCGATGGAGTCAAGTCAAGTACCAGGGGGGATCACCGGATGCCTTGGCGAGCTCGCCGAGATACATCATCATACCTCAGGTACGAGCAACACAGAACGCGAGATCTTGGAGGCTGGAAAGCCCGGTGAGAGAGATTGAGGTCAGTAGAGCTTCGGATGTGGCCAGAAGTCACAGAGCAAAGGCTCAAAGAAAAACTCGCGGAATTTGAAAGGCTGCCAAGAGCTTAGCTTGCTGCTGTAAGATAGCGGTCAGAGCAACGCGTCAAGCACCGGAAACCGAAAGCAGGCGGGAGAATGGAAGCCCTGAGCCATGGGACGCGGGTGGAAGAAAAAAAATCAGTTGTTCAACTTGTTCAAAAGAGCCACAGAGCGGCCGCTTGCCCTTGTCGACCCGGAATGATGGCGGTCGGATCAAAGAAACTACATGCGAAGCCCTCGCCGAGCCGACTTGATAGTTCGGGCCGTAGTCATCGTTCTGGCGCAAACAGATATTCACCACAAGTCCATCGTGGACTTGTTGCTCTCCACATTTCAGAGCTGAGGGCAGTGCCTTTGAGAGAGAAAAGAGTCTCCGTTAAACCACCGGGAAAAAAAGAAACCCAGGTAGAACACAACGATTGCAGTGGGTAGAATGCTTAATGTGTTCTGTCGCGCGCGCGGGGATTCGATACAGCGCTCTTAGGCCCCCGGATCGGGCTGGCGCTGTATCTAGACCGGAACTCGGCTACCTTAGTGTGTCACCTAGGGGATTCGAACCCCCGCCCCTACACTCCCAAATCAATGTGAGGGGCTCTAAAGCCTTAAGCTTTACCACTGGGCCATGGTTATCCACACAACGGTTGTAGCTTGAGACGCGCCAGAAGGATCATAATGAATTCTCCATGGAGCCGAAGAAGTGCCAGTGGCTGTGCACGGCATCACTGATTCGCCTTTGATAAGTGGTTCAAAATAAAGATATTACTGTAGAAGCCTTCGAGGTTCAGCAAGTCGACGAATCACCCGAATCCGATTTGATTGAAGAGACGAAGTGAAGCTTGTTACCCCTCTTGTGTTCATTTATGGGTTCGTGTTTGGGACGGTACTAGTAACTACTTGGTACTATTCGCAAAGTATTCGGCCAATGTTCAGAACGCACAAATTGGGAGTCGCGACTGCGAGGGTCGGATTGGGATGGAGGGTATATACAAGCATGGGGCGAAAGATTTTTCGCAGAGCTCCAGTCGGCCTCGTGGGCAAGCGCGTAGATTTGGGACAGATGTTCGGAAGCCACAGAATATGATTATATCATTATAATATTACCGTAAGCCGGGGAAAATTTCGAGCTCCAAGGTGACACGAGGTGCTCGGAACGGCATATATTATACAACAACAGAATGCATCGTCGCAGGGCTACTTTGAACTCAATAGCGGTCCATCCCCTCTGTTGGCAAGAAACAAGGAAATGTCCGCGTGACCCACCAAAAGGCTGGGGGAGAGGCCCTTTTGTGCCTCTTGGGCCGGCTTTCAGGCATAAACCGTTGATAAACCGAAAAAGGTTTGTTTGGTCCCGTGATCGTGCGTGGGAATTGGCAATTGCGCTGCTTCCTTGACTCTTGTCCCGTTGCTCTTCCTCGGCCTCTTTACCTCGTGCACGGTACCTCTCATGCCTTCAAAAATCTCTCCAGGACGCTTCATTCGCGATGCGATCCTCAAACACCTTGCTTCTCACGCTTTCGCTCCCCCACCCTTACCGCCAATCGAAGAGACTCGGTGGCCCGCGTGTTATGGATCCAGCGATGAAACAGCGGACATAGTCTCCAGCTCGGTGCCGCACTGCGATTACTATCAACAAACAGGCTTCGCCGTCTTCCACCACTGCATTTTCCTGATTCTAGTCGACGAGCTTGTCGATAAACCCGCCACTTATTTCTCGGTAAGAGCTCATCGCGACTCGGATGAGCTCATAATCACTGATCCAAATCGATGCTCTAGGCCCTTCAAGTAGCCATTCAATGCCCCGAGGTCCTCACGGCCTTGGTGAAGAAAATAGACGAAAAGCTTTTCGAGAAGATTGGCACTGCACGCGTCGACGGAGGATTTTACCAGCTCGTGGGCGTGATGTGGGAGATAAATGGCCATCTCACGGAAAATGTCGCCAAGCAGCTGCGTCCTTTCTTGGAGCCGCTTCTGGAAGCAGCTGGTGCCGCATATACTTTGTAGTACGTCGCGCCTTCATATGCTATCGCGGTCCTGCGCCTGAAGGAGGTCTAGTCACACGAAGCCCAGCGCACGCGTAACGTCGAACCAGGGCAGGGCGCAGGGGCTCTCACCGGGTACGTTTTTGTCCTCTTTGAAGCTCCCGTGTGATACAAGGGTCCAAATAGATCAGCAATTCATTGCGAATATGCGAGCCATTCAACAGGCTAGTAGCGAAGTTTCCCCCGTATCACAGATCCTTATCCCATGTTCTCAGACTCATCCTCAGACACCCCCTCGGTTGCAGGAGGTACGTCCCAATCTTGTTATGGCGACGATCACTCCTTAAACGGAAGAAAATAGCAATTCGACGTTGTACTCGAAGCAGTATGCGATCTTTCATCACCCGCGTCACTCAGGACTTACTTACCGTCTTGCTAATCCAGGCTGGTGGACTCCCCGCGTCCGTGTTTCAGCTCAATACCCCCCGTCACCCCTCGCAACCAGGATTCGAAATTTACTACGGCCCGCTTAACTTCGTGCGCACCTTCTTTTTCGACTCTCGTCCAAGATTTACTTCAAATGATCCAGAATGTCGGGCTTTCCCCTTCCGCGTTCGATCTGAACTCGGAAGCGGTCATTCGCGGGGAGGTCCTGGCAGAAGACTTGCACGACTTCGTAAGCCTTGTACCCTTGGTATCTTTTTTCGTCGATGCTCACATGAGTTATAGGACGGGCATGAGAGGGGCCTCGACGTGGCGGGCGCCAGGCCTGACCACAGCCCGCGCGCCCAGCTGCAAGCGACTGAACTTCTCAAAACGCTCTTAGTGACTACTTTCCTGCCCTATTTCACGCAACAACTTACGCGCGAAACATAGACAGAATCGGCGAAGGCGGGCGAAGCATCCCCGCGTTCGGTTTCTCTAGCCTTAGAGGACCTGATGCGTACGATACTGGTACGTATCGCATTCTCAACCAGCCCAAGGTTTCAGAGCGCTTATTCTGGCTCACCAGGACCTCTCGCCCCCCGCCGTTCTTCGGCCCGAGGAGCGCAGCAGCACGGTAAGTAGTCTCATTCAGCACATCATGATTCAGGGTCTCCTTAAGAACTTCGCACAGCACATCCCGATGCCCCGCTTCTCCTCACACGCACCAGGCCATGCAGTGTGTTTTTCCCGTGCTGGAGGGTACCCGCAGTCGACTAACCCCGCCTCCAGGCACGCAGCTCGAGTCTGCCTCCGAGCCCTCGCACACCGGTGCGGGGGGATCTCTTGGAGTCCGGTTTTGAGGTGCGTTTCAGCTACATCTTTGTGTCGAATGTGCTAATAGAGTTTCACAGTATGATGTCAAGAAGGCGCGGATGGAAACCCCCAAGGTCGGTGTCTGTTTGGATATTTCGGAACACATTTTTACGCACCGTTTTCATAGAACTCGGGCGGTGGTGCCGACGGCGCAGCTTTGGGCACCACTAGACGTCTCCCCTTCACTCCTAATAACGGACGGCACGCAGAAAATTGACTGATGTAGCTACGCAGCAGAAGAAGAAGCGCACGTTGTGAGAAGTTTCTTTTTCTTCCCTTTCTGCACCACATCCCAACGATCAGCATAGTTACCTTATTGCATCTCTGTAGAATGAAACCACTGTACTCGTTGCGTCTTGTTTCGACGAATCAGATATTGGCGAGGCTTACTGACAGCTCGGCGCCATTGGATTGCGTGAAACACATCCACATGGACAGGTTCCAATTATTAATTTGACGGATGTATACCATTCGAGCACGCCCAATGACCGTAGCTCGGCTTGAGAGGGAAGGCGCTGCTTTGGATGTGTTTGGATGTGTGATTGGATTCAACATCGGACCTCATACCATAACCAGGACTGGCATGTAGAGTACAACTCTCACCATGCCGCTCCGATTTGCGTTTTCTCGAGCTAAGGCTCCATACCCATTGGCAATTTTCCGTAATCAGTCACTGCACGAAAAATTGTTGCCCTTCGGGACTCTTCCCAGTGAACGAGAGAATTTCAACCACGGGCACAGCCACATGTTCAACTTGCGAGTGCAACGGTTCGCAAGATGCATGTCAAACGTAATCCGGCATGGAATCCAAGGAAGTCGATGCGCTTTTGTGTATTTTATGGATCTCAATGTGTACTGTCTGGTACAAGGGGTGAGTGAAAACCTAAGCGACGACGTCGACTCCCCCCAGGACCCCGGATACCAGGGGGGGTACAACCCCCCAAATGCGGAAGCCATCACGCCTGTGACGATTGCGTGACAACTGCTTGACGGTGCGGTGGTTAAGTTCAATACTCATGTTGCGGGCATGCCATTACCTTCAAACTTGTCAAATCGGTGTTTCCAAGCTGTGGGATTATTTCTGAATCCTTACAATGCATCCCCCAATCACCAGGTGCAAATGGGGGTCTCACATACGCAATGAAAGTCAGGATGAGCAAGGTTTCACTCGCATGCTTACAGAAAGAATTGTGTTGCATTCAGTCAGATTTAAAACGATTTGTAACATGACCTCCGAATATCTGGAAGGATCCCCCCTCTGCACCAAAACTTTCAGGCATATTGTGCGGTGGAATGATCGCGGTGATGCGGTCCGACATCTCAAAAGGGAAAGAGGACCCCGCAACCTAATCACGTGCAAATGGGTGGTCTATATCCGGCATTACGGTTTCCGGTACCCCTTGGTCTGGTACAAACACCTCATAGAATTCACCTCGGCATGTCGGCAAAATGTTCAACTTCCCACGGCTCACGAAAGGGATCAACGAAGCACAACTTCATGGTCAATTGGACCAGGCAAGCACATCACGGTCAATCAGACCTAAGACATTGTAAGTCGAGACTAAAGGTGAATTTTGAGGGGAGATGCCCAGCGATGCATCCCTAGAGGACCGGAGAGAGAGAAACGGATTGAGTAGCAGCTGAGCCTGATAATGCCGCAAATGTGTATGAAGGCGAAATGCCCAGCGTTGTTTGTTGTCGGAGTCTTTTGAGGCATAGTCCAGTGCAGGGCCAGTGTACACAAACTGTCCGTCTGGCTCCGTGATGTAACATGTTCCTGATAATTCCACTGCACCGGCACGCGCTACAGTCACATGTTCAACTTACAGGTGCAAGCCTATTGGGCGAAATTGCTGATTGGGTGTGAACTATTGGGCGAATCAGCGAAGCGCAAGGCAAAAAAAATTCAGAGGATATGAGCCAAACCACGGTCTGCCAGCTAACTCGGCCCCTGAACTGCTGGCAGCACTGGTGTTCCGTAAATCACACCCAATTATATGCAGGCTGTTCATTACTTACTGATAGAAACCAGTTGGGAGATAGAATCGAACGCGAGGGCTCAGGAAAGAAAGGGGAGAGAATAGAGATACACTGATCCTTGAACGCCTAGTGTCTGTCAATGGTCTCGATCCCGGTTCCCGACTCCTTTAATCGGTCGGGGCAAAAAAAATGAACTTCTCACGCACAGGAACAGAGAGGGAAGGGCATCCAGCTGCCAGGGGTTTTTACCAGCTTCTATCCCGGAGTCACGCAGATCATTTTAGGCAGCGAACGAACACGAAAATACGAGGTTGATGTATGTGCAACTGGTCGTGACTTGCAAGTACACGGTCTTGTCTCGCCTCTCGAGAGTAGAGCCTGCTGTATTTGCTGGTGCACACTGCTGTGTCATTTGAATGATTCGAACGTCCGCCAGCACTCTTGAGCTACATAGTATTAATGTAATCGATGGAAGGTGCACACCGCGACATTTGACGCAGAGCGAAACCTCACAGCGAACAGTCTCAATGAAGAACAAAAGGTGCCATGAGACATCACGGAGAACACAATTGAGATGTCGGATCCTGGCGCAAAAATGATGCCCAGTGAGAACACAACAATTGCCCAGACAGAAAGCATAATGTGTTCTTCGCGCGCGCGGGGATTCGATACAGCGCGCTTAGACCCCCGGATCAGGCTGGCGCTGCATTTAGACCGTCGCTCGGCTCCCTTATCGTGGCACTAAGGGGAATCGAACCCCCGCCCCTACACTCCCAATGATCGAATGTGTGAGGCTGTGAAAGCATAAGCTTTCCACTGGGCCATAGTGTCCACGCCAGCACACATCTACACCGTTCGTTAAAATCTAAGCGGAGGCGGAAGCTTCATCTTGACATCCCGATGGAGTACAAGAAGAAGATCGTGGCGGTCCGTAGAATTTGTACCAAGCTCTGCTCTACCGGTACCAGACCCAGGAATATTAACGCTTCGTCGATGTCGCATTTCTGAGGTGATGCCACCGCGGATGATTGTCAAAGCCGAGGACATGTGAATCCTGCGAGTTGCAGACATCAGTAAGCCTGCTTCTCAAAGCAGGAGCAAGTCCAAAGCAAGTCCACTTACCTAGATCTATCAGATCCTCGATGGGTACACATGGGCTCGGGCGCCAGACTCGGGCCGCTTGAGTAGCCGCGCCAGCTGCAATGGAAGGGAATTTTTGGGAATTTCTAGGGGTGGAAGGACCCAACCCGTAGGGAAGCTCTTAAAGACCACTCTTGGCAATTGCCAAGTTGCGACTTCCAACTTCCTTTCAACATGCCCTCAACATGCCGTTTGGCGGCCAGGGCGAAAAGAATCGGTGAGGAGCAGCTGACAGCGGGAGAACAATTCAAATGAGGCTCAATCTACTCGTTCAGACCGTATGCGTGATTCACGATCCCCGACAGCCTCCGGCAGCTTTTTTTCAATGAGTTTGTTTTGTTTGATCTCGTGATTAGGCGTGGGAACACACTTCAAGTTCGTGACTTGACTTTGAGCGGACTCAGCGGAGTCCTTCTTCCTTCCTCTCGACCATAAAAACACCCCGATGCCCAAGCCCACCCTCGGCAAGAGCGTTCGAGGCGCTGTCCTGAACTCTATCACTTGCCTCGCCTTCACTCCGCCCCCACTGCCCGTCATCAACGACTTTTCAGTGGCCTCACTGTTTTAACAATCTTGCTACGGACAACGATGCCACTCGGTCGCTGGCAGCTCAGCAAAGGGGATTCTACCACCAAGCCGGATATGCAACCCTAAATCAGGCTATTTTTTTGATGGTTGTCGATAGTCTGGTCGATAAGCCTGCTGGATTTGTCTCGGTACGTTGTGGCCAGTGATCGCTCACGAACAAACACTAAGAAGAACATTCCGCTTTAGGCCTTACAGACTGCGATCTGCTGCAACGACGTTCTGACGGCCCTCGTGAGCAAAATCGATCCCAAGCTCGCGGAAAACATGGAACCCGCGGCTCGACTAGACATCGGTTTCTACCAGCTTATAGGCGTTTTATGGGAACTCGAGGGGCGCCGCTCTGAATCGGTTACGAGATTGCTTACCCCGTTTCTGGAGCCTCTTCTTCAAGCAGCGGAAGACACGTTTATTGCTTTGTGCGTGTCGTTTCTACATTTCACGAGGGTCGACTCGATGTCTCAATCGATATCAGCCATTCTGCTGAGCCGACGACTAAGGCCAAGGCCAAGAACACGGCGAAGAAGGGAAAGAATGTCTTGGAGACGGAAACCGAAGGCGAATCGCAGAGAGAAAACCCTCTGTCGTCTGGTATGTTCCCTCGCACCGTAATCTTAGGCTGTTCAAAGCTGTTGTGACGATCTCGACAGACCAGCAATTTATCGTCAATGCCAGAGCCATCCAACGGGCTCGTGTTTTCTTGTTTCTTATCGCAGCCTCCCTTATCCTATCTCAGGCTCTCGCTCAGGCGTTCCCTCATATTCAGCAGGTACGCACATCCTTTCATGACAACGAGCAACGTGTTCACGGAAGAACTTACAGGAAGATAACTATGAAACCGTCGGTTTTTCCTCGCTCGTCTCGGGCATAGCTTAACGTATCGTTATTGCAGCTTTGCGGACTCTCTCCTTCAACCTTTCGTACTCCCGTGGCTCCTCGCGCAGGTATCTTCCTCGAGGATTCGTATGACTCGGTACGCGCGTGCCCTCGCTCTTAAAAGTGTTTCTTCAATGTTCACCGGGAATCTAGCTGTCACGCAATATAGATCTTGCCGCGGCGAGAGTCAAGACCATCCACCGCCCGCGGGCACTTCTTGAAGCCAAGCAAATTTTGGAGAAGCTGCTCGTATGTGCCTGTTTTCTAGTGCATCTATTTACTGCCGGTCTGATTACTAGTATCATCATGCGACACAGACGGAGCGGGATGGCCCGCAGACTCCCCCCTCGCAAGCGGAAGTCTCAGCGGCCATGAAAGAGCTGCTGATGTCTGTTTTCGTATGTATCACGGTCAATCCCGCTCCATTGCAGTGAAAATAACGAACTGGCCCCCTAGGACTTGTCACCGAATGCGGCGCCCTCTTCGACGGACCGCGGTCGTCCAGCACATATTCGCCTCTTCATACTTGTCCACGATCTCACAAATCTGAACAGAATATTCGCACCCCCCGCTTCTCCCCTCAAGCACAAGGAGACACTGTGCGTCTCATCTCAGAGCTAGAGGATTTCTATAGAAAATTCACGCAACCGCTGATAGACTAGAAGCTCCAGCGTGCCTGACGTGCCTCGCACGCCAGAACAGGGCGGCCGTCTGGAACCTGGCTTTGAGGTGTGTTTCATCGACCGTTGAGGTTCTTTCCGACGCACTGATTGTATATACATAGCTCAACGCAGGCAGAGTGCGTCCGGTGACACCGAAGAACCTGGTCAGTGCTATTTCCGTGTCTTGAGCGGGCGCTTAAGACTACGTGCACAGAATGTGGGTGGCCCAAGTGGCTCGGGCTACGCTGGGCGTCGTCGTCCCTTAACGCCGAATAATGGGAGGCAGGGAGGTAAAGGGTCACTCTAGATCGTTTGAGAACGGACATCAAAACGCGATAGGCTGCTGCCTAAACTTGATCCGTATGTCGACGTATTTTCTGGTTCTTCAGCCTGGGCATAGTCTTCGACTTAAAAGCTTCTCCTTCAGGCCATAGTGGGGTTCTGATACATCAGCCGTCTCTCGAGAGAGACCCGCGTCCATGTATCAGAACCTCTCGTGAGAGATGCGCGGTGATGTATCACTTGAGAGTAGTCAATATTCGGGGTAATCCTGTGCCTGTGGCTCGCGTATTATCGCCCGCTTTGCCCGCTCGCTGCTGCTCGGCGCGTGGCTGTGCTACCCGCCCTTCCCAAAACGGTCGCTTTTCCGGTGCGCCCTTTCCGGCCCATAATTTACGGTCACCAGCTTGACCAATGGAGACTACGGATCCCCGTATCTCTGGACCTTGCAACCCTCTAGCGGCGACAATATCGCGCTTGCGGAAACCGGGGTAAACCCCCAATCGGGCTGGAATTTGACAGGTGATGGCGTTATTTGCGGTTGTTGTTCTTCACTCTCTTTGCTCACCACCACCTACCCTGCGCCGCTGCTGCCCGTCCGCTCGCCCGTTTGCCTAGCCAGCCGATCCATCTGTGTACACTGCACTCTCGACTGTCGATGTGGAGTTTGAGCCGCTTTCGCCGCGTAGTTTGCCCGTTATCCCGCTTTGCAATTTCGCCCCTCCTTCAGCGCGCCCTGCTCCCCACTGCCCTCTGATGGATCTGGAAGCCCATCGCAACACACTCGCATCTTCTGTGCACATTAGAGCTCCGTATACCGGTCCTTTTCGGTCCGCCAGCGCGCCCCGCGTTCCGTCGTAGTGCGCACATCCCGCCGCTTTTTCTGGCTCCTGCCGCTACGCTCCGGTTGCCTTCATCGTGTATGGCGACCTATCCGTACCTCCTGTGGAATTCGACGAGGTGTTATCTGCTCTTTGGGTCCATCGTGTCCTTCCCCGTGCGGCTGCGGCGGCTTTTCCGCCCCTTTAACCGTTCGCTGCTCTATTGGCTTTCGCTCGACATCCACGGTCTGCGGCATCCGCCCTGCAGCGCGCCACATCCTGGGCAGGCTGTGCGTGTATCAGCGCACTGATCCCGCCCCCCTTTCACGCTCCTGCGCGGTGCACCACCCATGGTACGTTTCACGGTGCAGGGTCCACACCCTTGACCCCCGCTGTTCTAGGTGCTTGTCCGTACAATTTCTCCATACCGAGGCATTCGCTTCCCGCCGCATCCCGCCGCCGCATCCCGCCGCCTCCCGCCGCATCCCGCCGCTTTCTGCCGCCCCGCACTTGTGGTACGAGGACTCAAGACGGATATCTTTGTTTTGGATCGCTTGTCCTCTCCCGCGATATCTACATCTTTAGTGTACCGACTGTCCTTTTTTTTTTTTTTGCGAGCGCAGCGAAGCAATTCTCAGTTTGGCACGTGACCAGGGAAGGGCTGGATAGGGAAGCAAACAAGAACAAATTCTACGCACTGTGGCTGACACTTTTTTGCGCAAAGAACTGGCTCAAAAACGTTCAGTTTTGGGTCAATTGAGACACAAACTGCACCAACGGACGCAGTTTCCCACACCGGCTCACCCCATACCAGATTCATAGCGAACAAACGGCGAACAAAGGGTGTCCTAATTGGGATTGGATCAAAAAGTGTCAGCGTGATTACGCAGACTGCGCAGCGAGCTTTCCCGACGCTGTCGGATCCTTTATTACGTTGTATATCTGTTCCCGTCTCCCGTCTCCCCTCTCCCGTTGATCCAGTCGCGTAGTTTTCCACACTTGTATGTACCTCCTTGATAAAAGTAACCTGAATAATAGCGATGTCATTGAGCTGATCGACCATCGGATGTGAATCGAGTTAAGAGGACAGGTCTGATTTCTCCCGCACTTTTAGGTATGTGGTGCATCTCGCTCATTGCGTGTAGCGACTTAGTTTGATGTACGTGTAGCTCAACGGCGATGTTTTGACGAAAAAAAAATCCAGGACATTGGCTTTTGTGTCGAGACGAAGGTAGTTTCCCGTCGTGTCGGAGGATTGCCTCTTTGGGCTCCTTTGCATGGCTCTTGATTTGGCCGAACATTTTATTCTGTGCGCAAAGCTTCCTCGTTTGCCCTGATTCTTGAATATGTTGTGTGCGCCATATGTATGCGTCGCACTGCACTTTCTCCGCATTTTTATGGCACTTTAATAGGGTTTTATAGAGCATATGCTGTTTTTGACGCACCTGTTCCCAAAAATGTGGACCGG